TCTTGGCCGTCTGGAGGTAAATTTGACCATTTCGGGCCCTCTTGGAGGACGTCTTGGAGGGCTCTTGGGCCGTCTTGGAGGCCATCTTGGGCGTCTTGGAGGCATATGGGGGACCATCTTGAGCCGTCTTCGAGGAAAATTGGCAGAATTGAGCTCCCGGGAAATCCTGCCGGGACCCCGTCGGGACGGGCCGAAGCCCCAGGGGGAGTTCTTTCGGAAAAAGAACCGATACCAAAAGCCATATCGTCCGGCACGCCAGGCACCCTTTTGATAAATCAAAAGGGGGCGGCGGATCGAAGACGCCTACGGCGAATCACCGCCGCCCCCTGCCTTTTTGGAAGCGCCTATGTGGCCGAACGTTGAGGCCAGACCTGCCAAGCTATCGGACCATGTGTTCCCCGAATCGGTTTGGAAAGCCTTCGGGGAACACGTGGGCATCTTGAAGGTCATCTTGGCCGTCTGGAGGCCATTTTGACCTTTTCGGGCCTTCTTGGAGGACGTCTTGGAGGGCTCTTGGACCGTCTTGGAGGCCATCTTTGGCGTCTTAAAAGCCTCCTGGGCCGTCTTGGGGGCCTCTTGGGGCCGTGTCTGAGGGGCACTTGGGCCGTCTCGGGCCGTCGGAAGGCAGAAAAAAAGCAAACGCCACAAATCTTCAAAAACCAACGAGTTTGGCATCTTCGGGCCTTCCTGGAGGCCCTCTTGGAGGCCTCTTGGGCCGCCTTGGGCCATCTTAGGGCCATGTTCGGCCGTCTTGGTAGGCTCCTGGTCCGTCTGACGCCGTCGGAAGCCGTTTGGGGGGCCCTTCTGGGCCGACTTGAGGCCCCCTTGGAATGCTCCAGGGCCGTCTTGGAGGCCATCTTGGGCGTCTTAAAGGCCTCCTGTGCCGTTTTCCCTCTTGGGACCGTCTTGGGGCCCTCTTGGGCCGTTTTGGGGCCATCTTGGAGGCCTCTTGGGCTGTCTTTCGGCGATCGTTGGGGGCTCTTGGGCCATCTCGGGCCGTCGGAAGGCCGAAAAGAAGGAAATGTCAAGATCCGTCGAAAAAACCTTTGGAAAATCAATGTGTTTGGCCTCTTCGGGCCTTCCTGGACGCTCTCTTGGGGGCCTCTTGGGCCGTCTTGGGCTAGCTTCGAGCCAACTTCGGCCATCTTGGTGGGTTCCTGGCACGTCTGACGCCGTCGGGAGCCGTCTTGGGGGCCTTTCTGGGCCGACTGGGGGTCCTCTTGGGGCGCGTCGGGGCCGTCTTGGAGGCCATCTTGGGCGTCTTGGAGGCCATCTTGGGCGTGTTGGAGGCCTCTTGGGCCGTCTTGGGGCCGTCTTGGAGGCCACTTGGGCCGTCATGGGGCCCTCTTGGGGGCCTCTTGGGCGATCTTGGGGGCCTCTTGCGCCGTCTTGGGCCGTCGGGAGGCAACAAAGAAGCAAATGCCAAAATGCTCCAAAAACGTATTGGAATTCAATGATTTGGGCCTCTTCGGGCCCTCGTGGAGGACCTCTTGGAGGCCTCTTGGGCTGTCCTGGAGGCTTCTTGGCGTCTTAGGCCATCTAGATGCAATCTCAGGCCGTCTTAGGTGCATCTTGGGCGATCTTGGAGGCCTCTTGGGCCGTCTTGAGCCGTCGGAATGCCGAGAAGAGGCAAATGCCCAAACCCTTCAAAAACCTAAGGAAAAGCAATGATTTTGGCCTCTTCGGGCCTTCCTGGAGGACCTGTTGGAGGCCTCCTGGGCCGTCTTGGAGGCCTCTTGGGAGCCTCTTGGGCCGTCTTGGGCTATCTTGAGGCCATCTTAGGCGGTCTTGGGTGCATCTTGGGCCGTCTTGGAGGCATCTTGGGGCCATCTTAGCCGCCTTGGAGGCCATCTTGGCCGTCTTGGAAGCATCTTGGAGGTTATCTTCGGCCATCTTGAGCGAAAAAGCCGACGAGATTGGGGAATTCAGCGCCTTCCGGGTGGCCGGCGGGTCGGGCCGAAGCCCCAGGGGAGTTCTTTTGGAAAAAGAACCAGAACCAAAACCAAAACCGAGAGGATTCAGCACGCCAGGCACCCCTGTGATGAATCAACAGGCGGCGGCGGATCGAATGGCCTTCGGCCCATCGCGCCACCGTGCCTGGGTTGTGGGTATGAGGCCTATTGGATGATCGTAGGGATCTTGTCGAGGCCTCTCGGGTGGCTGGTTTGGGGTCTCTTGGGGCCCTTTCCCCTCTTGGGCTCCTTTTGGGGCCCCCTTGTGGCCCTCTTGGACGGTCTTGGGGCCCTCTTTGGCCGTCTTGGGGCCATCTTGGGGTCTCTGAGGTCGACTTGGGGCGGTCTTTGGGACCTGCTGGACCGTCTTGGAGCGTCGGGAAGCCGAAAAGGCGGTAACACCAAAGTCGTTCAAAAACCAAAGGGGACTCAATGAATGTTGTCACTTGGGGCCCACTTAGGAGTGCTCTTGGAAGCATCTTGGGGCGTCTTGCAGGCCTCTTGGGCAGTCTTGAGGCCATCTTGGGCGTCTTGGGGCGATATTTCGGCGACTCGGTGCCATCTTACCTCTCGGAGCCATCTGGGCCCGCACTGGGACCCTCTCTAGCCCGAAAAATCACGCGACAAGACGGTCCAAGACCCAGGGGGCTCGCGACAAGTCCAAGTATATTTGAGAATTTGGGGATCTGGGACCCTTAAGAACCCTTAGGATCGAGGACTGAGGCTCAGGGGATGAGGCAAAGGACCTGAGAACACGCCCACTCCGTGCACGGAGGCACGAGTGCGGATACGCCTCATGGATGATTGCGCAGCGGTCGGCAGCGGATGTTATAAATTAGGTGTGGAATCGCGAGTTTTTTGCTGACAAGACGACTACGCGCCTTGAGCAAGGGTCTTGCGCTTGTCGCCTCGTCTGCGTGGCGCCTCGCCACAGCCTGCACTCGGCCAGGTGCCACACATCAGGAGCTGCCCTGCCTGTAGTTGTTCCCCAAGACATCGTAGAGACCTTTTCTATTGTCTCAACGATGTGCTTCTCTTGGTCTCGGGCTCTTCTTCTGGCACGGGCTGCGGCAGCAAGACGCGACACGACTGGGGGCTTGGCACCCCCAGTCGTGTGAGCACCTAGCCCTCAGGAGCGTGCGCCAGGTGCCTTCGCTCAGAGGGAGGCAGGCGGAGAAAGAGGAGGAGGAGGAGGACGAGTGGGAGGGACGGATGGGGAGAGCAAACACTTCTTGGCGATCGCCAGAAGAGCACACTGAAAGTTGTAGCCACTCTCGGCTTCTGAGGCCCAGGGCCATCAAGCGGCGACTCACGACGACATGCGAGTCCCAGGGGAAGGGGTCCAGACCTCCAGCTCCAGAGGCCAGCGACTCGACTAAACAGGTTCGCCAGAGGTCTGGAGAGGGAGGGCAGTGTGGGAGGGAATTGGCACAGCGATGCAATGAGGCTTGCAACAGATCTTCAGTTACCCTAGGTTTGTTGCGGCTATGTACGACTGATGGGGCCAACGGGGGCCCTGAAACTTCTCGCTCGCCCCTTGACGGGGCAGCGCCGTCAAGGCGAAACGTTATTCTTCGAGCGCCTGGTGGCCCTGCCATTGCAGCGTATTTTTCTTGTCAGGCGGTGCGCATTTCGTCCTCCTCCTCCTCCTCCTCCTACGACGACGACGACGACGACGACTGTCCGAGATCTTTAGATCACCCCAAACGCGTACTGGAAACATGTGTTTCTTCCTCCGCCTCCCCCGCCTCCCCACGGTTCGCAAATCGGTCTGCATCGCTGGCACAAGGCCTGGAGGGCCTCCTTCTCGCCCCGCATGGACCTGTCCTCCTCGGGGCGACCTGCCAGATGTGGAGCCCCGCTCGTTCTGCTCTGTCGGCGCCGCGGAGAAAAAATGTCGTGAGGGAGGGTGGTCCTGAGCCTTCTCCTCGCTTTCGGCTTCCAGTGCCCTCTCCCAGGCCCCTCCCAGGTCCCAGGGCCGCGAAAAGATCACCTGTTATAGTTTTGATCAGCGAACTCCGGAGAAGCTCCAGGGTCCAAAAGGCACGTTGCCCTCGGACCTCGCCCCTCTCCTCGCTCCTCGCTCCTCTTTCGCAGGAGATAGTGTTTCATCCCCTGGCAAGAACGGGTGTGACCGAGAGAGGGGGGAGGGGGCGACGCCACGGTTCTCCCTGATAACTTTTGAGAACGATTGGGAATTGCGAATTCCCAGACGGCGCCTGCGCGAATCGTGACGTGACCAGGTGGGGCGGGGCCTGTAATAACGGGCGCTGTCGCGAATAGTAAAGACATGGCCCCGGACGGTGGCCCCAGACGGGGTCCTCATCCTCGTTTCGCCGTGGCGGCCTGCTGCCGTCCTCCTCCCTTTGCCGCGCCATGTTGGGCTCACCGACGTGGCCGCTCAGCCTCGAGTCCTCGAGTCCTCCGCCCCCCCCCCCCCTGCGTCGCAATAGGGCCCCCTCACTCGGGCTCCGCCACGCCCGGCCGCGGCCGCACGCCTCCTGGTGTGCGCGGCGGCCTCCCCTGAGATCCTGGCGTCTCAAGTCGCTCCAGCCGGGGAGCCCGGTTCATGGTGTGGGCCTCTTGGATCAGGCCAGAGTCGACGGGGTCGAAGGATCGCGCCGCATCGCCGATGCATCGCCGATGCGGCTCGGTGTGGGGCCTGTCTCTCTCCTCGCCGATGTCGCCGATGATTCACCACCGACGTTCGCCGATGCATCGGCGAAACATTGGTGATGCGGCGCGATCCTCCGACCCCATGCATTCGGACCTCTTTTAGGAGGGTTTTCAACACGAGCGACGCATAAGAACGGGGTCGTCTGCGCCGACATTAGCGCGTAAGCTGCCCGCGTAAGGTCGCGCGTAAGCGCCCTCGTCTTCAATGTGGCGTGCCGCGCTGGCGGCCCGCGTAAGCCGCGGCGTAAGGTCGCTATGCCATCTCGCGTAAGACCCGTTTTTGGTCGGCGTTCATACAGTCGGCCTTGACGAGTAGGTCGACACTGCCAAATCAAGGGTACCCTTGCGTCTTGTGCTTCGCAACCCATGTCTCCTGGAGTCATATGGCCACGGGGCGCTCGGAAGGGTCTTGTGCCCTCTCGCGTGTCCTGTCCAACCAAGTCCGACTGTACAGTCCAGGACTTTGGTCGCGATTTTTCGCGATGCTGCGCTCTTCTCTCTGCCGCGGATCTCAGAAGTCTCGGCGGCACCGCGCGTGCCCCGGCCCTACGACTTTCGGGCGGTGGAGGCATCGGGGATCGAGGCCTCCGCGCCGCTCCCTGGCCGGCGCCGGGCGGAGGGTGGAGAGGCCAGCGCCCGAGCAGGTTCTGTGAGGAAGCGGCGGTGGTCGGATGCAGCTGGGACGGAGAGAGAGCGTTCCGGAGCGCTCTTGCAGCAGAGCGTTCCAGAACGCTCTGAGAAGGCCGTGGCGCCAGAGACGTCCTCCAGAGCCGCCGGATCTCAGAGATTGCCGATTTTCCCTCCCTCGATTTTATCCTCGCCTTGGCTTCGTCTTAGATGGCAGCGGCGGCGGGCGGGGGGGCAGCGAGCGCTGAAACCGGGGACGGCACGAGAGCTGACAGGGGGGCGGTCCTCCCCCCCTTCCCCCTTGTTTGCTGCAGGCAGGGCGCAGGGGTGCTTGCTGGTTTCACGTCGCAGTGGCTGTCGGGAGTCCACGCGCATAGCGGCCGCCTGGTGCTTCGAGGAGCCCTCGGGGACCATTTCCTGCTTCGCCGCTGCGGTAGCGCCCCTCAGGCTCGCCGTGGCTCTCATGCAGCGCCCGCCGGCCCAGCGGTCCTCCCCAGGCGCCTCCAATTGGCTCGACGATGCTCCCCCCACCTTTACCTATGTGACCACCCTTCGGGTGATAAGGAGGCGGGGGGGATGGGTGCAGTTGTCGGTTTATCATCGGCTTCGGATTGGAATCGTGATATATCCATTGATCCAACGACATTTATATCTTGATAGATCGGCCTCACTCTCTCTGTTGATCCCATTACACAGATATCGGTCGACGTCACGATCGATCGGTCTCACGATCGACCTCCCGATATCGCAATCAATACTTGGGCAGACCGACCCTGCTATTTATCAATGTATGAATATGTATATGTAAATGATCTGTCTCTGACCTTGCCTGGCCCTTCGCAGTGTAGCACACCGGTTTCAACGCATTCTGTGTATGCCTTTGGTGTTAGCGGCTCAAGCGGGGTCAGTATGGACACAGGGCTCTTGTTTGCCGCCTATCACCTAATAGCATCGGGCCTCCAGGCCTTCACCCTAGTCAAGCCGCCCGGCGATTGCCCCCCTTGTGTCTGCGCGGTGGACGCCCGCGGAGCATCGGTGGTACCCACGCTCACCAAGTCTCTGGACGTCATCCGTGGCGCGTATCAAGAGCGTTCCCTCTCGAGAGCGCTGTTGCGATCTGATCGTGAGACGTGCCCGACTGACGGACGGCGGTGTGGTTGATCGTGTTTTTTCTTCGGATGTCTCGTCGGCGCGCCGCTGATTCTCGCCGTTTCGTGCTGCCTATCTCTATCCAAGCGCACCGCTCGCAGTCTGCCACCGAAGGCCGAGCCACGCCAAGCCATCTCCGACACGCCCGCGCCTGAGCCAGAGCCCATAGTGCGCACTTACTCCCAGCTGAGAGCCAATGGCAGATTTTAAAACTTTGGATATACCAGAGCGTCAAGTCCTTATCAGTTTCTGGGGCGATCTCAACAACCTGGTGTACCACCATCGTGTCTTGCTGTTTGCCACCCCGCAGCCTGGAAAATGGATTGTTGGTACACCCGACTTCAATGTGCAGTATGCCGACCACGCCGAGCACCAGGTCTTCCCCTTCGTTCACGACGAGCCTATCCCTCGGCGGTATCGTGCCCAGACCTGCGCCTTCGACGCGCCCATCGACCCCGAGACCCTGGCGCGCATGCGCCGTGCGGGTCGCGATTTCTTGGAGGTATTCGGGCTGGTTGGCGCCGCCGGCGCGGCCCCGCAGGGTTGTCGCTGGCGCGTCTCCGACCCGGTCCACGCTGCGCTCGGCGACGAGATCCCCGAGGCCGTGAGCCACGGGCCCAGGCCGTGACCCCAGGCTCCTCGGCGACGAGCTGGTCGGCGGCCTCCCGCATATGTCCTTTCAGGAGATCGCCAGGCGGTCGAGGAAGGGGTCGCGGCCAGGCTGGCCCGTTCGGGGCAAGGCCGCGGCGCCAGAGCTGCAGTGAGCCTGCATGGCGTCGGGCCACGACTACGTCAGCCACCATGCCGATTGGCGGTCGAAAGCTGGGGTGAACATGCATTGGGTGGTCTGTCGCTTCCACCGCCGCCTACCCGTGGCCCTGGGCCAGTTCGGCGCGCACGATCAGCTCGACCCCGCCAACGTGGCCGGCATCGAGTACCTGAGTCGGTGGCTGTTCGAGATCGAGACGGCCGTCCACCGCAACCCGAAGACCCCCGTCTTCGCCAATCTCGGGGGGATCTTAGCTGCCCCGCTGGGCGAGGACGGCCGCGCCCCCCTCCCCGAGTTCGGCAGCTTCGTCTCGGGGCTTCAACGCGACTGGGTCCAGCGACTGAAGCAGATGAGGCCGCGGCACGAGGAGACCGCGCACCTGGCCTCCACCGCGGCGGCGGCGGCGGCCACTCACTCCGACGAGGGCGGCGGCGGCCGAGGCCGAGGCCGCGACCAGGGCGCCGGCCGCGGCCGGGGCGGCGACGGAGCCGCCGACGGCGGTTAGGCTCCTCGGGGGGCGCGGTTGCGGGCGAGGTTTGAGCGTGTGTTTTGGAGGCAACCTAGCTTCAAACATTAAACTTATAAGCTCTGATAATATTCAGATCCAGCTCTGATTCAACTCTGGCCCAGAACTCTGTTTCATTTCTGATTTTCTCGAAACTCTGATTTAACCTTGGTCTGAACCCTGATTGAACTCTGATTCGGCTCTGTCCCCAACCAGAGCTAAATCAGAGTTATAGCAGAGTTCCAGACCAGAGCTAGTTCAGAGCTTCAGCTAAAACAAGGAGATGAACCAGAGTTTCAGGCCAGAGCCAAATCAGAGTTTCGTAAGAACGCGCCCGCACGGAACTCAATACTAAAAGGGGGGACCCAGCTTCAAGCCACCCCCCCTCCTTCCTTCGAAAAGGAGGTGGAGTTTCCGAAGCTACCCCCCCCCCCCCCCTCCCTTCTGAAGTGTTTCTAAGCCAGAGGGGGCCCTAGGGGGAGCTCCACAGAAGGTTCCAGCGTCGCAGTCCGCATTCAGTTCCTGCGCCCAGTATAGCGCTCCTGGCCCCAGAGGGAACTCCACCGAAGGTCCCAGCGGCGCGGCCCGCATGCGGCCCCTGCGCCCAGTACACCGCTTTTTGGCTTCATTTGGAGCTCCACAGGCGGTTCCTGCGCCCAGCGCAGCGCTTCGTGGCCCCAGAGGGAGATTCACCGAAGGTCCCACTGGCGCTGTCTGCATGCGGTTCTTGGGCCCAGTGCAGCGTTTCGCGGCCCCAGAGGGAGATCCACCGAAGGTCCCAGCGGTGCAGTCCGCATGCGGCCCCTGGCCCCAGCGCAGCGCTTCGGGGCCCCAGAGGGAGTTCCACCGAAGGTCCCAGTGGCGTAGTCCGCATGCGGTTCTCTGTGTGAAGACCACTCATATCCCTTTTCTATATCTCTATCAGGCTATCCTCTCGGCTCAGATAGTGGACATCTTGAGCGCCCTCAATCCGACGGGCGCGAGGATGGAAGACCTCCACATGTTCTCTTCATCGTCCTCTACCTACGGATCACACGGTAGGTTCGACTCATCGGTCGTTAACTTCCACTCACAGGTGATCAGCCTTTTCTACTTCGCTCTTCGCTGCGAAACCTCGCGCCAACTTCGAGCTCTGCGCATGGCGTTGGGACCTACGGGGGCCAGCGGCTCCATGCGCGGCGGCTCCTCGACGACGCGCGGGCTTCGCGACGACACGGAGAGGGCAGTGGGACGGGGGATGGTACCGCAGGCTCCCCTTACCAGGAGAAGGCAGCGCCGACGCCCGCCTCGAAACTCAGCTTCGGCGCGCAGGTGCAATCTTGCTCGTCATACACGTACACTTCCCATCCTTTCGTGCCGGCGCAATCGTACACCCCAGGGTTGGGACTCAGTTCCCATTCGACTGTTCAGTCACTTGAAGCCAACGTGCAAGTCCCTCGTCGGTGGAAACACTTGCGCCTTCCTCCTCCAATCCCCTCGCCGGTGGCACGCCGCGGCGGCGCGAGCGAAACGTCTCCTCCGAGCGCTTCTGCGGGACACCGCCGCTGAGGCACCAGAGGTCTTTCGAGCCCCGCATCGGCCCCCGCGCCTGAACGCGCGCGCGCCAACGAGGATCGCACGGGAACGACCTCACAGCGAAGGGCCCCCCGACCGGCATCATCTTCAGTCTCGTCGCAGGGGCGCCAGCCGCAGCCCCTCGCAGAGGCGCTCACGGCAGAACTCCGCGCGGCGCGGCACGGCGCCACGTGCATCGCCTTCCCCCAATGCGTCGGCAGAGCTCAGAGAACAGGTTGAAACCCGCACGGCCCAACAGTTGTCGGGCCTCGCTGCCGCAGTCGCCGATCATGCGACACGGACAGCAAACCTGAAGCAAGAGATCCAGTATGCTCTTGCCTTGGTTGACGCTCGAATCAGCGAGGGTCAATCCATCCGCAATGAGGTCTCATATCAAGTTGGCTGCGTGGGGCCACGCCGAGGCGCAGACTCCACTGCCATCCAGACGCTCCGCGACTACCTCCTCGCCGTGGAGGTGCAGCTCGCAAGCGCCAGGGACGCGGGCGCCGCCGCTGCCGGGGCCATCCGCGACGAGATCCCGACATTGCGGCAGGCCCCTGCCTCCGAGGTACATGGGATTGCGGATCAACGGCTCCGCGATGACCACGCTGCGTTTCGCGGTCACGTTGGCGTGACCACTGCCAGCCACCACTCCGAGAGTACCATGACCGCGTCCGAGTTGCACGGCAAGTTGTGCATTGCCGAGGCGGCTATTGTTCAACGTTTGGACGCATCAGAGGGGCGCGTGCCAGCGCTTGAGCACCGAGTCTCCACGGTCGAGCAGCAGTTACCTGATCTACAGGCATCGCTGGCTGAGTCGCGAGTTGCGCGGGCGCAGACTGGCCAGCTGGGGACGCCGACTTCGGCCTGCGATCCCGCCCCCCTCGCCGCCGAGACGGCCGAGGTAAGGGGGCGGCGGGCCACGCGCAGCCGCGACTAACCCAGATCTCCCACGAAAGAGACGCTGAAAAAGGCACGAGCAGAGGCATTACAATTCCCGTTCGGAACTTGAGCGCGAAACACGCAACCGACGATTCCAGGACGTAGAGCATCGGCTGGACCGGCACCCCCAGCGAACTCACGATACCAACGACAAGGTACGTGGTCTACGACAGAGCGTCGAGAAGATGCAGCGCGACTTCGCAACCACCGAATCCACTTTAACGGCCCACGCGAGCGACGCTAAGATCCATTCCCCTTCGTAACCTCTAGAAACCGGCGCCGACAGCGCGCCGACCCTCGCCGATGGGAACGTCCGCGCAGGACAGCCGCGACGCGCGTCACCAGGAGCTGCCTCTGCAGCAGCTTCAACGCGGACACGTCGCTCATCGCCCGCGCGTGCGCCATCGCCGACGCCGCCAATTCCATCCCAGAATCCGCCCCCCCATTTTTTTCTCAGTGGCACCACCCCGAGAAAATCATCAGACACTGCCCGCGTTCCTCAACTGCCACGCACCACTCAGTTACAAGAGTGGCCGCAAATTGCGATGGGGGAACTTCGGCAGCGCATCCAGGCACCCTGCCAAGGCGTCACCTTTTCTCTGCGTTGCTGAAAACCTTGACATTACATTTGTGGACCTTCAAGACAGCCGCGCCTTCGACAGCATCGATTGCAAGCTCGCTGCAGCTCTTACTCCTGGGCCCCGTTATCGCACGAAGAACCTCAGAGCTCAAGAACACCATGCCGGCCGCATGTTGGAAGGGAGACAGTTGTATTGGTCATGTTACAGTCATGCAAGGTCACGGAAGTCGACGACGCAGCGCACGACTTCGGACGTCTAATTATTCGCATGCGAGACGACGACATCCAACGGTTTGTGGACTGGGACAATCTGCTTTTGGAAGGCCGTGATCCGCCAGGCACGAAGATATTCGAGTCATTGTTCCGAGCACAGCTCCGCAGGCACCCGTGGATGAAGCAAGACATGCATGACTACAACAAGGTGAAGTAAGGCGCCCCCAATCGCGCATGCGATTCGCTACGAGAACGCGTTCTGGCCAACGTCGAGATGCACCGACTCGGACGTAATCAGCACAACCTCAAGAACGAGACGACTCGTCACGACCTGGCCGCGCACGCGGCATACATGGCAGGTTGCTGCAAGAACGGTGAACGGTTGAAACTCCAACACGCCGGTTCTGGCAACCGCCCCACGCCGCGACCTCCGAGACGCACGTCGCAGGCCGGCAGGAGCGCCCGCGAGAAACGACCCCCCCCCCCCCCCCACACACACACACACACACACACACACACACACACACACACACACACACACACACACACACACGGGACGAGGCACACAGTAGCCACCCAAAGACGGAGGTGCCAAGAATTTATGTTTCTCGTTCGCGCAGCGCGGCACCTGCCCACGATAAGATCGGCGCAGATGGCGTTGCAAAATGCAGTTTCTTTGCTGACCCAGGCAAGTATGGCGAGCTGGGCAACGGCTGTCGACGCGCCCGCATTGCGTCTGGCAACAGGACCCCCGAGAGGGGCCCCAGCCGTGCCCGCAGTCAGGACAGCCGCAACAAGACGCCCTCTCCCGGACGTGCGGGGGGCCACCGATACTCTCCACGCGGGGGGCGTCAGGGCTGTCGGAGTCCAGGGGTTTCACGCTGGCCGCGTCGCGGATCGCCATCCCGGGGCGCGGGGGGCGACGGGGCCCACCAAGTCCAGGGGGCCGCAGATGGCCCCCGCAAC